CTGCGGCGGCGGCGGCGGCGGCCGCCGCGGCTGCTGCGCGGCGCTGCGACGACGCGCGCGAGCGCCCGGCGCCAGCCGAAGTCGAGCCGCGCGCAGACCTGTCCAGCTTCCGGTGTTGCTGCGCGCGCTCCATCGCCGACGAGATCATCTTCTCGCGACTGAACGTCATGACGCGCGCCGCGCCGCCGCCGCCGCCGGCCTCGTTCTGCCGGCGCCGGAACACCAGCATCTTCCGCTGCTGCTCGGACACGGCCGAGCCGGCGCCGGCGCCGGCGGCCCCGGCGGCGCCGGAGGCGGAGGGGTGGGCGCCTCCGAAGAAGTCTGGCAGCGGCTCGGGCGCAGAACCATAGGAGATGTTGCAGGGCTCCGACGCGAACCCCCCAGACCCGACGCCCCAGAGCGCGGCCTGCCCCGCGCCGGACAGCTGAAGCTCCAGCGACGCCTGCAGCTGGATGGCGGCCGCGGGGGCGGCCGCGGCGGCGTCGACAGGGTGCACGAGGCCGGCCATAGGCAGGAAGGGCGCCGCCATGAAGGGCGAGTACATGTCCATGTCGATTGACACAGGGACCGCCACCGGCGCGCCGACGACGGGGGGAGGTGGGCCTGAGGACCCGCTGGACGCGACGCCGCCAGAGTGCTGCTGCTGCAGCAGCTGCTGCAGCGGCTGCTGCTGCTGCTGCTGTAGCTGCTGCTGGGGCAGCTGCGGCGGCGCCAGGCCGTTCCCGCTGCGGCCGTTGCCGGCCAGGAGTGCGGCTGTCTTTGCAAACATGCCTTGGAGCCGCCCGGCAAACTTGCCAGGCGTCGGCGCTAGGGGGGCGGCCTGCTGCTGCTGCTGCTGCTGCTGCTGCTGCTGCTGCTGCTGCTGCTGCTGCTGCTGCTGCTGCTGCTGCTCCTGCAGCTGCAGCTGCTGCTGCAGTTGCCGCTGCTGCATTTGCTGCTGCAGCAGCAGCAGCTGCTGCTGGTGCTGCTGCTGTTGCTGTTGGTGCTGCTGCCCTTGCTGCAGGCCCGGCAGCAGTGCCGGGGCCTGCTGGCTCGCCTCGCCCGCGCCGCCGCCGCGCGCGCCGCCGCGGCGGGATTGCTGCCCTCCGCCGCAGCCGCCAACGCGCATGACCCCGGGCAGGTCGATGCTGCTGATCAGGCCAAAGCCCTCATCCATCCCTTGCGTGGCGAGGAGCGACTGCAGGGCTTCCAAATCTAAGCCGTCGGGCCTGCCGCGACCCAGCTGCCGGAGTGTCCGCGCGGGCTGCAGCAACGCAGGCCCTGCTGCGCCGTCGGTCGCGGCGGCCGGCGATGTCGCGGCCGGGCCCTGCCGCTGCGCCTGCGCCTGGAGCGCGGTGCCCGCGGCCGCGACGCCGCTCGCGCCGCTGGCTGCGCTGTTGGCGCGCTCAGAGGGCTGCGCGGCCGCGCTTCCAGCCGCAGCCGCCGCCGCTGGCGAATAGCCAGAGGGGGTCCTGCCGTCGGCGCCGCTCCTGCCACCACCGCTGCTCAGGTCGACCTCCAGTGGCGGCGGCCGCTGCAGGGGGCCCCAGGGGCAGACGCTAGGCTGCGGCTGCAGCTCGCCGGCAACCCCAGCGGCCCCAGGGCGGCGCGCCTGAGCCAGCGCGTCCAGCGGCGTGGCTATGACGCCGCTTGCGAAGAAAGCGTCCTGCACGGCTGACTGGTTGAGCGGGGCCCCGCCCCTCGCCAGCGGCCCTGGGAGCTGCACCCAACCCAGGTGCGTGCCGCTCGCAGCGGCGGAGAGGCCCTGCATCGCCGCTGTGAGCGACGCGCAGCTGCTGAGGGTGTTGTAGCTGCGGGGGCGGGTAGAGGGGGGGTTGTTGGGGGCAGATGGTCAATCAGGCGGCCAGCGGTGAGGGCGGATGTGCCGAGGCTTGCGTCCGGGCTCGACGGACAGGCCGCGCGCGGCTGTGCGGCGCGGCGCGGTCGGGGCGGACGGGGCCAGCCTCTGTCCGGAGGAAGGGACATGCAGGGCAGGGGGTCCCAGGCCCCGGACGGCGGCACTCCGCCGCTCGCGCTCACTTGGCGCTGCTGAGGCAGCCGGACGCGTCGGTGTCGTTGCCGCGCAACAGCGTGCGGCCGAGCGCGCCCGCGCCGCCGCCGCCGCCGCCGCCGCCGCCGCCGTCGCCGCCGGCCAGGACCATATCGGCGTCGCTGTCGCTGATGCCGTCAAGCCAGTCGGTCTCTATCTCATACAAGCCGCCCAGGCTGCCCTGGCGGTCGGCCATGGCGGCGTCCAGGGAGGGCAGGCGCGGCAGCTCCCGGCCGCCGAGCCGCTGCCACGCCTGCTCCAGCCCCAGCGGCTGGCCCGCGTCGCCGCCGGCGCCCGCGGCGGCGGCCAGCAGGCCTTCGTTGGTGCTGCTGGCGCACTCGGCGCTTGCGGCCGCGGGCGCGGCCGCGGGCGCCGGGGCCGCCGCGCCATCGTGCGAGGCCGCGGCTGCGAAGGCCGCGGCGGCCTCGGCGGTGGTGAGCACCGCGCGCGCGGCGGCCGGCTGCTGGGTCCCGTCAATGTCTGGTAGCACCAATCCGAGGTCTTCCCCGTTGGCTATGATTTCGTTGATCGCGACAACAATGCTCTCCTGCCTCACGACGCCGCCGCTCGGCAGCAGCGCTGTGGCGCGCTGCGCCTTGCCGGGCGTGCCAAGCGCGCCGGCCACAGCAGGTGCGGCTGTGAGGCCCGAGGAGGGCATCGGGCCTGGCGTGGGAAGGGAGCCGTTTGTAAGGGGACGGGGACTCCCGGGCGCGCGCATGTGGAGCAGCCCGACCACCGTCATCGGCGCGAACGCTGGACCATCGCTCACGGCGCAGGCGCGACCACAGGGCATTGGCCAACAACCCCGAAACCAGCCGTTGATAATCACCCGTCGTTTTCGAAGCAATAATGTCGCCTGGAAGCTCCAGGCTGCCGGAATCAGCTACCCGGGGCCAACAGGGCCTGGAACCAATGCCCGGCCACCTGCGCGCCGGTGAGCAAGCACCATGAGAGCCAGGCACGCTATAGATTGCTGCTGCGAAGGTCTGCACTCGGGCCCCTCCTTTCACGCCCCCGCGCACACTGCGAATTCCAGCGTGAGCCCCACGTATCACGAGCCCCGCTCGCGTACCTCTCTGATACAAGTTACAAAACTCCACGAGTATCGTCCCCGCGCCTGAGGCGGCCCAACAAGCAGTAGGTGGCCCCGCTGGTGCTTGATCAAGGTTAGAAATCGACTCCTAAATGCAATGCGTAATCAAGACAACAATGAAAGTAACCTGGCACGCCAGGCTTTCGGAGCGAGCAATGTGTCCTCCGACCAGGCCACACCTCTGATGCGATGACAAGGTTCTGTGCCCCTCCGGAAGCGTACCACCCTCCCGTAACACGCCTTCCAACATACTACGACATGAATTTGTGACTCGGCGTGCTGTGTAATCGCTTCTTCTTGGCCCCCTCGCTGTCAACGACGGTAATTTGCCCCTGAGGAGTGTGTGCGGAAGGACGCAAGCAGGGCGATCACATGCACGCAGCCACGCTTTGACATGATGATATATTGTGTCGGGATTCGATGCCCTAGGAGACGAAGATGCGCCAGAGCGGCCGATCGTCACTGCCGGCATGCTTGATGCAGCGCAAGGGGCCGCCCGCCGCCATGTAGCATGAGCACGAGGCACTGTGGGTTGTGCAGGAGGCCTGTCCGCATGACAGCGCAGTCTTGGCGGGCATCAGATGCACAGAGCTCATTGGCCCGTGCCTTGTGGCCAATCCGACCACGCATTCTGCTGCCATCAGTCTGCTTGCCGCTGATGCCTCAAGTGCGAGGTTACCCTTCTACGCGCTAAGCCTTTGCTTTGTAAACGGCAGGCTTCTGGGTACGGCTGCACGATCTTGACAGCGTGGCACGCACAGGGTGCAGGCGGCCAAAATTGCATGCATGACGCCTGGTTTCGTGCGAAGCGTCGCACCACGACCAACCTACTGCTGCATACACAAGCACCGAAACAGCGCACGTGTGGATTGGTGATGCCATAACCTTGTGTTGCTGGGCACGAGCCCCATACTGCAAGGCGCAGGCGCCGTGTCGGGCCGCACATGGGCCATACGGCGAGGTGCCTGGCAGACGTCTTGTGAGCATCAGGTTTGTGGGTGTCTGGGACCGATTGACGGGTTCCTCTCGCCTCAAAGGCTCTTGAAGCTGTGCCTTGAAGCCTCTGACGGCTCATGCACAGAGGTGGATGGCCAGGGCGCATGCACAACACGAGTGTGCAACCACGCGTGTGAGCGTTTCAGCGCTCAAGGTGGCGGTCAAGCTGTGGATGGGGTGACACGTGCCGACAGGCGGGCCTCCTGGCCCACCGCAAGGTGGCCGTGCGAGCGGCAAGCCAGCCAGTGGCGGCGCCATGCTGTGGCGCTTCAAACGGGTGCCTACAACCACACGTGTGCGCGCTGCCTCGGCGTCGCAGCCCGGCGCGGAGCGCTCTGCGTGTGTGGGTGAAGGGATGCGGCGAGAACCGCAACTGCAGGAGCGTGGCGAGGGATCGTGACTGCGCAACGCGCGCAAGGGGCGGCCCGTCGGTGAAAATGAGGGGGGTCCTGGAGCGAGGGCGCGAGCTCCCGCTGCTCTGGCCCTTTGCGGGCCTCCCGTGTCGGGCTTTGAGTCAACTGATAAGGGTGCGGGGAGGCGCAAATACACGCCGCACGGCGGGCATGGTGCATGACGCTGAGGCGGTACATTCCGACACCCAAAACGCCCCTTCGGCAGGACGGAAGCCAGTCGCACCGCCCAGGCACCGGCACAAGACAGCTGCGGCCATGTCGGGCCGGTGCACCCAGGTGTTGCATGGGTGGGGTGGGGAAGGGGTGTGCGTGTACATCGCCGGGGATGACAACATGGGGCACAGCTGCTCAGGAACATTAGAGCCATCGTCATACAAAAGAGCACAGCCCCCGCCTGCCCGCCAGCACGGCGCGCGCCGCGCCGGCCAAGGGGCCGTTCCCGCGGCACGCGGGGCTTGATGGCTGCGGGCACAACTTCTTGGGTGCCCTGTCAACTGGGAAGCGGCAAGGCCGCGCGAGGGGCCCAAAGGTGAGCCCCCTCCCAGAGAACCAGGGGTGTCAACCCGCGCGTGCCGTCCTAGTGTTGTGCTCAGACCGGCACCGGACGGGAGGCCTGCCCGTTGCGCGGGCCGGGGGGTGCGCCGCTACAGAATGGCCAGCGCTCGTGCCGCAAGGTTCCACGCCCTCTGTTGTTGTACAGTCCCTGGCAACCTCGTCCGGCCCACACTTGTTGTATATTAATTGCGGCCCCGGCCCGCTACCGGGCGGCCTGTGCAAGAAGGGTGGTGCGCCACAAGGCCGCGCGCACGTGTGGATCCCTTCGCTGCGCCCTGCTCTCCAAACAGCCCGGCGTCCAAACCATCAGCAGGCCGCGGCGGCGGCGCCGCGGCGGCAGCCGCGTGTGGCGACGGCAGCCGCTGGAACGGCGCCGCCGACGCCTGCGCCTCCTCCGCCGTGCGCTGTTGGCGGCCGCTCGGCCGCCCTCACAACACGATCAACAGAAGCATTCCTTTCCGAGGCACCGCCGGCCCCCGCGCCGGCCGCAGGAAACGCCGCCCAGGGCCGACCGCGCCGCGGGCCCGCGGCGAGGGCGACGCTCGCCGCCTGGTGGGCGCGTGCGGCGGGCCATGCTCAGCACCAGGGGAGCGTGCAGCGGTCGTCCATCGGGGGCGCCCCCGCGGCCGCGATGAAGGCGACGAATATGATGACCGCCACGGCGACCATGCCGCCCTGGAAGCCGGGGTGGGTCCAGAGGCCCAGGAGGAAACCCTCCTCGCGCCGGATGCGGCCCTGGACCTGTGGATGTGATGTTGTGTGTTTGTGTGTGTGTGTGTGTGTGTGTGTGTGTGTGTGGGTGGGTGTGTGTGGATGAAGAACCGATGTGCGGAAGTTGTGTCGCTTCAAGGGCGGCCTCACGCCCTGACAAGCGCACCCAGCTGGCGCCTGGAGGGTAGTGGGGCGCCCCAGGGCGCCGGCACTACTCAGGCGGGCTCACGGGGGGCCGCGCGCCGCGCGCTGGGGTGCGATACCGTGCGGGGCGCCGCAGTTCGTTTGAGGGGTGGGGGCTGCACCTGGGGGTTGCTCGGCGTCGCGCGGCCTGACGTGGTGGTGTTGGGGCTGCTGCCGGGCGTGACCGTGCGCGTTGAGGCCGAGCGGGCGCCGCCCGCGGGGCGCTCCTGCTGATATCTGGTGTGGTGGGCGCGATTTTGGGGCGGGGCTGCGTGGGAAGGAGGCCAGCTGTGCATGCGGCCACGCAGAGCGCAGCCGAGAGTATGCGGCAGACCGCCAGCGCGATCTGATGTCGCCATGCGCGTTGAACCCCCGGTGATTTGGGGCTCACCTTGCCCAGGCCGCATCCCAATCGACGTCGTTGCTGTTGCCGCCGTTGCCTGGGGCTTCGCCGTTTTCCCGCTGCTGCCCGCCGCTGCCCCCGTCCTTGGGCGGTGTGGCGCGGCACGCGAGGACCCGCCTGCCCGCAAACACCTTGGCCACGGGCCTTGAGCTCTGTGATATTGGTGCACGATCGCAGGCGTGAGCGGGCGCTGGACGGCCCGATGCAAGCGTTGACGGTAAGGCCAGAAGGGCTATCTTGCGAATTGCTCACCAGCGCAGACGGCACCCTCAAATCCAGACGAGGCGCGGAGATCCGCGCGTAAAGCGCCTGCGAGGTGGCCATGATGCTGGCGTGGAGTGCCCGCGCGCCAGGAAGATCGATCTCACAAGCACAGCCCTTGTATGTCAAAGAAAGGCTACGCCCAATAAAACGCTGTTCAACTGTTTGGAGAGCTGGACGTCTCTACTCTCTCTGTACGGTACGGTACCTGTCAGCTGCGCAGACTTCGGGATTCTGGCCATGCGGCGGCGTCAGCGTCGGCCGAGGCGCCAACCTGCAAACTTCTCGGGGTCCTGCTCCTATGCTGATATAGATAGATTGGATGACTTGTACCTTCAAAAGAGATGCTGCTGAACACCCCGATCCCAGGGTCAGCTGCTTCATGTGCTTGGCCTTGCAGCACGAGCAGGGGAGGGAGCAGACCGCCAGCTGTGGTTACCAGCATCCTGCAAAACGCAACAAAACAGGGACTGTTGCCGCCCCCGATGCAACGCGCTGAGGCGTCAGCCCCAGACCAAGGGTGGACCGCCACAGGTGGCACCCTCACTACCGTCACCACCCG